TCGCCTTCCCTTTCTTCCCGCCTTGACTCTGCTTCGCTTTCTGAAGAGCCAACGGCTTTATCTTCGCCCGACATTGAGCTCGTTAATGCGGCGAGTCTTCTCCGTCTTGCACGGGAAGACAAGCTCGACATTTTCGCTGCCCAAATGGATATCCGTCCTCCTTCGCCGGAGACGTATCCTACGGTGTCGATAAGGTCCGTGCTCACGACGAAGGTGTATGCCGAGTCTGGCACCCCTGTTGACTCTCGAGGTGTCCCGCTCAAATACAATGAGTTTGGCGACGTTTTCAGCCTCAAGTCTGACCCTCCTTCTTCCTTGCCTCCTCACCGTCCGTATGACTTGTCTATTGAGTTTGTACGGACCGAGGATGGAAAGGAACCTCGTTTGCCAAAGCCGGGGAAAGTCTATCCTTTGTCCCCGGCCGAGGAATCTGCTCTTTCGGAGTATCTGACCAACGCCCTCGCACGTGGTTGGATCTCCAAATCCTCTTCTCCCGTTGGTGCTCCCTGCTTCTTCGTGAAGAAGCCCAATGGTGGTCTTCGCCTTTGCGTCGACTACCGGGGCCTCAATGCCATCACGAAGAAGAACCGCTACCCTCTTCCCCTCTTCCAGGATCTTCTGGATAAACTTTCTTCTGCCCGCGTCTTCTCACACCTTGACCTTCCTGATGCTTACCACTTGGTTCGTGTCAAGAAGGGCGATGAGTGGAAGACTGCTTTTGTTTGCAAATCTGGCTCTTACGAGTACAATGTTATCCCCTTTGGTCTTTCGAATGCCCCCGCTGCTTTTCAGTTTTTTATGAACGACATCTTCTCGGACCTCCTTGGTGTCTGTGTTGTCATTTATCTTGACGACATCCTGATCTTCTCAAAAGATCCCCTGGAGCATGAGGAGCATGTTAAGCTTGTTCTTTCTCGCCTTCGTGAACACTCTCTTAAGGTCAATCCGGCCAAGTGTTCTTTTGACCTTTCTGAAGTTGACTTTCTCGGCATGATCATTTCTGCCGATGGCATTAAAATGGACCCTGCCAAGGTCGAGGCCGTTTCCCTTTGGCCTGTTCCCTCTTCTGCTCGCGACATCCAAGTTTTTATTGGTTTCGCAAACTTTTACCGCCGCTTCGTCAAGGACTTTTCCGCACTTGCTCGTCCTTTGACTTCACTCACCACCAAATCCTCCACCTTCTCTTGGTCTCCCGAGGCCCAAGAGGCTTTTGATTCTCTTAAACGTTCATTCACTTCCGCACCTATTCTTCGTTACTTTGATTTCTCCAAACCCGCTGTCATCGAGCCCGATGCTTCTGACTTTGCTCTGGGTGCCGTCCTTTCCCAGTTTGACCCTGACGGCGCTCTTCACCCCGTTGCTTTTCACTCTCGGCAATTCCGTCCCGCCGAGGTGAATTATGACACCCACGACAAAGAGCTCCTTGCTATTGTCGATTCCTTTACTGCCTGGCGTCATTACTTGATGGCTGCCGACCCCGATCATCCCACTCTTGTTTTCTCTGATCACCAGAACCTCACCCGGTTCACTTCCGCTTCCCAACTTTCTCGCCGCCAGTTCCGGTGGGCCCAATTCCTTTCTGATTTTGCTTTTCGCATTTACCACCGCCCTGGTCGCCTCAACACCAAAGCCGATGCTCTCAGTCGCCGTTCTGACTTTGAGATAAAGCCTGGTGACTCCCTCCACTCCACCAACTTCCTTCAGCTGTTCGAGTCTATTTCTCTCGACAGCATCACCGTTATCGGCTCGAACCCCGATTTTCTTTCCGAGATTCGAGCTGCCACCCTTTCTTGTTCCCTTCTTTCTGACTTCAACGCCAAACGTCTTGATGGCGATTACTCCTTCCGTGACGGTCTCCTTTACTTTAAAGACCTGATCGTTGTCCCTTCCCCCGAGCTCCAGCTCAAAGTGTTTGAGCAACGTCACTGCTCCGCTGCCGCTGGTCACTTTGGTCTTGCCAAGACCGTTGAGCTCATCTCCCGGGACTTTCACTGGCCCCGGCTTCGTAAGTCTGTGCGTCGCTTCATTGCTAATTGTGAAGCGTGCCAGCGAGCCAAGCCGTCCCGTCACTCCCCTTATGGTTTACTTCACCCTCTCCCCGTTCCTTCCGAACGTTGGTGGGACCTGTCGATGGACTTCATCACGGATCTCCCACCTTCGAACGGCTTTGACTCCATCTTCGTGGTTAAGGACCGCCTGTCCAAACAAGCACACTTTGTGCCCACCACGAAGACGGTTACAGGCGAGCAAACCGCCGAACTCTTCCTCTCCCACATCTTCCGCTTGCATGGTTGTCCCCGGTCTATTGTTTCGGACCGAGGAACTCAGTTTACTTCGGCCTTCTGGAGGCGCTTCAATGAGCTTCTGAAGACGAAGATTTCCCTTTCTTCTGCCTTCCACCCCGAGACCGACGGTTCGACCGAGGTTCTCAACCAGGTCATCGAGCAGTATTTGCGTATCCATTGCAATTACCTGCAAGACGACTGGACCCTTCACCTTCCCCTTGCCGAGTTCACTTACAACAACTCGGAAAACACCTCCACTGGCATGACTCCCTTCTTTGCAGTCCATGGCCATCACCCCATTTTTGATCCCTCCATCATCCGTGATCCTTCTGTTGTGCCCTCTGCCGAAGAACGTGTCGACCGACTTCAGACCGTTCTCGAGGATCTCAAGGCCAACCTCCGGGTTGCCCAAGAGTCCTACACTTTGCAGGCCAACAAATCCCGTCTCCCCACTCCCGACATCTCCGTTGGCGACCTCGTTTTTCTTGATCGTCGCCACATCCGCACCCTTCGTCCCTCCAACAAGCTTGATCAGAAAAAGCTTGGCCCCTTTAAAGTTCTTCGCCGCATCAACCCCGTTGCCTTTGAACTTAAACTCCCTTCCACACTCAAAGTCCACCCCGTCTTTCATGTATCCCTCCTTGAACCCCGAACGAAGGACATTGTTCCCGAGTTCACCCAACCCGAACCTCCACCCATTCTTGTTGACTCCCAGGAAGAGTTTGAGGTCGAGACTGTTCTCGATTCTCGGCTCTTCCGTGGTCGCTTACAGTACTTGGTTCAGTGGAAGGGCTATTCCGAGACTGACCGGTCTTGGGAGCCCGCTGCCAATGTTTCCCACGCCACTGATCTTGTTGCTGACTTCCACCTTCGCTATCCCTCAAAGCCGAAGGCGACGCCCGGAGTTCGTCGCTAAGGAAGGGGATGATGTTAGGGATAGCTTCTGCTTGTTCTCCACTTTGACTGCACACTTGGCTGTTCTTTTGCCTTTCTGTTTGTTTGTGTGTAGCTTTGCAGTTCCCCTCCAATTTTCCGCCTTTTGCCTGCCATTTCCGCTCCTTCCGCACTTCCGTTTCCCCGCGCTGCTCCGCTTCCTTTGTCTTCTTCGCACGCGCCGGTTTGTTTGTGCACGCGCCTTGCTGCGATTGGTTGCAATTCGGCTGCCGGTCATGTGTCCCACCACCGGTGACTCATGACCTGCCTGACCGCCCCGATCTCTTGTTCATCTCGCATGCATTTGCCCCAACCTTATACTTGACCAATCCGCTTCTTGGACGTTGAGTCACATTGCTTCGCCTTTGCACGTTTCTCCTGCCAGGTGCTTCGCTTTTGCTTGCGCCTCCCTCGCTTTGGTTCTCTGCCTGTCTCGGTGGTCCTTCTCGGCCCTCGTTCGTGCATCGCCCCCTTCGCCCTGCTCGATCGCCCACTTTTCCCTCCCTTGGCCGCCCTTCGCTGCCAAGTCCGGACTTGTCTATAAATAGCCTGACCCCCGCGATGTGTAGTCGAACCTCAGCGTTCAAAATAGGACTAAATAAAGTGCCTTCTACTTTATTCTCTGAGTGTTCCTCACGTCTCATTTCGAGACAAGTCTTATCTTGAACGGATCTTTGCTTCCCTCGCTCCCTCTCCGAGTCCACTTCGGACTTTACCCTTGCCTTCCCTGAGCTCACTTCGAGCTCACTTCTTCTTTTGCCGTTGAGTCCCCTTCGGACTCTAACAGCGGCGGCGGGAGCTTGCAGGTCCTGGATCTGACGATGGAGAGCAGCGTTCTGGGTCATGAGGGCGTTCATACGCTCCTCCATGCGCGCCAGATACGCATTGAGATCTGCAGGGGGTGCAGCAGGCTCAGCCATCGGATCGAGTAGGGAAAGAGAGGCGAAAGAAGAAGAAAGGCCGGAAAGCCAAGAGGGAGCGTTCAAAATGATGTTAGAGTCCGAGGGGGACTCAACGGCAAAAGAAGAAGTGAGCTCGAAGTGAGCTCAGGGAAAGCAAGGGTAAAGTCCGAAGTGGACTCGGAGAGGGAGCGAGGGAAGCAAAGATCCGTTCAAGATAAGACTTGTCTCGAAATGAGACGTGAGGAACACTCAGAGAATAAAGTAGAAGGCACTTTATTTAGTCCTATTTTGAACGCTGAGGTTCGACTACACATCGCGGGGGTCAGGCTATTTATAGACAAGTCCGGACTTGGCAGCGAAGGGCGGCCAAGGGAGGGAAAAGTGGGCGATCGAGCAGGGCGAAGGGGGCGATGCACGAACGAGGGCCGAGAAGGACCACCGAGACAGGCAGAGAACCAAAGCGAGAGAGGCGCAAGCAAAAGCGAAGCACCTGGCAGGAGAAACGTGCAAAGGCGAAGCAATGTGACTCAACATCCAAGAAGCGGATTGGTCAAGTATAAGGTTGGGGCAAATGCGTGCGAGATGAACAAGAGATCGGGGCGGTCAGGCAGGTCATGAGTCACCGGTGGGGGGACACATGACCGGCAGCCGAATTGCAACCAATCGCAGCAAAGCGCGTGTACAAACAAACCGGCGCGTGCGAAGAAGACAAAGGAAGCGGAGCAGCGCGGGAAAACGGAAGTGCGGAAGGAGCGGAAAAGACAGGCAAAGGGCGGAAAATCGGAGGGGAACTGCAAGGCTACACACAAACAAACAGAAAGGCAAAAGAACAGCCAAGTGTGCATTCAAAGTGGAGAACAAGCAGAAGCTATCCCTAACAGCCGCCGTCACTGGGCAGTCATGACCGAGAAGATCTATGAAGAGCGTCGCTCCTCCCATGAGCTGGCTGTGCATAACAACAGCTCCAGAGACGTTGACAAGTTCCGCCATCTTCTGAACACCAATCCTTCGCTCCTCGGATGTGCCAACTGTGTCCTCGAGTTCCGTGAGAATGTTGATCCGGTCACGAAGAAACGACTCGGTAGCTTCAAGGTGAAGGCCCGTGCAGGCCGCCCGGAAGACTATGTGTCGTCGTCGACGCACCACGTCTACCTCAAGTACGAGAAATACCCCATCGAGCTTCGCGAGGCCATGGAGTCCTTCATCAACCAAATCTTGCCCATCGAGCATCAGCGCAAGTACATTATGCACCGCTTTGCCTCGTGCTTGAAGGGTGTCTTGAGCGAGCAAGTCTTTACGCTTCTCCAGGGCAAAGGCTCCAACGGCAAGTCCAGTCTGATCCGATTCCTTCGCCGCGCTACCGGGGATTACTTCAAAACCTGCAGCGTTTCCCTGTTTACGGAGAAGAGGGGGGATCCGTCAAGACCGTCGCCCGATCTCCTGCGCCTGATCGGTTCGCGCATTGTCGTTTGTCAGGAGCCCAACCGAGACGATACTTTGCTCCTAGGAACGCTCAAGTCCGTCACCGGTGGTGACATCATGACCGGTCGCCAGCTCTTTGTCAATGACGAAGTCGAATTCCTACTTGCCTGCGGCTTCTTCATGATGTGCAATGACATTCCCAAGATCGATGCGAGCACACAGGACGAAGGAACGTGGAGACGGCTGATTATTGAAAAGTTCAGCAGCACCTTTATCCCTCCAAACCACCCGACACGCATCCCCGATCCCGACAACTATGTCTTTGCCGGCCGCAGCGATGTCGACGAATCCATCATCTCCTGGGCGCCCATGTTCCTGAGTTACCTGGTCGAGCAGCTCAAGCGCCCGCCTCCTCCTTTGCCGCAAGAGTTCCAGAAGACGGTCGACGACATCCGATGCCAGAACGACACTGTGGCCCAATTCATCCAAGAGTGCGTTAACAAGCAGGCAACCCGAGACCATAGCCCCGATCGCATCGCATTCCACCGCAACGACGTCTGGAACAAGTACTCGAGCTTTATGCGCAATCGCAACATCAGAATCAACAGCACCGGGCAGGCCTTTAGCAAGTTCTTTGCCAAATTCGAGGAGCAGCTGGGAATCCAGGGACGAGACCATGAGGGAGCCTTCGTCTATGACTTGGTCGTTACCGCGGCGGTCTGGGACTCGCTCTAGTGTGTGTATGTGTTTTCAGTAATTTCAGTGCCAATGTTAAAGCTACTGTGTTTTTAAACACAGACAATAGCCAATAAAAAAGTAGTACAAAAGACACGCTCGTTTCCATATCCAGCGCGGGTCGACGCGGCTCGCGGGAACGCCTTTTCTTTTTTGACGCGTACAGTGTTCTGTGACAACTGGGTAGCTTTATTGGAATCGACCGAGCTGCCAGGCCATCTTGCTGCGCGTTTGGGGCAGTACCACAGGGATCTCCACTGCCGATCTCGCGAGAGCGTCCTCATTGGGTGTTCTCGGTGTGGCCTCGTCCTCGCCAGGATAGACCGTCGCCTCGGTCAACCGCGAGGTTGTAAGTTCGAACCCACCTTGTGTTTTGGGACGATGATTGATCGGATGTGTCCTGGGTGGGCAGGGTACAGTCAAACCAGAAAGAAACGGGACAGTCACTTCCTGGCATCAGCGACACAGGTCTGCTGATCCGTAGACCCCAGTGGGCAGGTCGTGCGATTGTTTCCCGTCCTGGTTGGCAATCACTTTGTTTTGGGTGGGTCCGGAAGCACAGTCTTGAATACATTCGGTCGATCTCCTGTGGCGATGATCGACTGGCATACCGAGATCATGTTCCTGGCTGCATTGATGTCTCGATCCCACAGCGTATGGCAGCTTGCACAGCTCCGTACATAATGTGGCTTCTCGACATCAAGATACTCGGGTGACTCAAGTCGCTTGAATTCCCGACAGTGTGAGCACACCTGGGATGTGTTGAACTCGTTCACCGAGTACACATGGATCTTGGAGACGGATCGGTTTGGTGGTCGTCTCTGGTGGTGGTGGAACTGCTCAAAGTACTTGGCAAACCTGAGTCTCCTGGGACTGGAGGCATATCCCTTCCCCTGTTTCCAGGAGGCATTCCCAAAGGCAATCACCACTTCGGTCTCCCTTGGTGCCTGGTCGATGACTTGCTTGCACATCTCGTGGACAGTGCGCTGTCGCTTGCTGTGGAGATCGAGTCGCTTGAATCGCCGTCGCCGGGTCAGGCTGAAGTACAGCTGTTTCTCCAGCATGTCTCCATCGAACACATGGCGAATGTATTGCAGGAAGGAAGCCAACCCGGGGATCTTGGGACTTGGTGTGGTGCTCATCCAGTCCTGCAGACCAAGGATCTTGTGGGTGCTCTGGATCCACTTGGTCGCCTGACTGGTGCCAGTTCGATGCTGGTACTCCTTGTTGGAGAACGACACGATCTTCTCGTTGGCGCGCTGTGCCTTGGTCACCTTGACACCGTCTTGCTCCTGGATGGATGGTTGACCGGGTGCTCGATTGACAGCGGTGAAGATCGATCCCACTCCAGGGTCGATCCCGATCCATGTGGTCCGAGAGTCGTCAATGGGACCGACCCTGGTCTGGATCTTCTGCTCGGGAGTGAGTGTGTTCACCTTGGTCTTGGGTACCGGCTTGGCATCGGGGCCCTTCTTCTCCAGGATCTTATATCTGAGTGTGGTGATCGAGCACCCGACCCCATCGGTGCTGATCTCGCAACCAAAGAGCTGCTTCCCCTTCTCCCTGGCACCAAAGAGTCTCGACTCCAGCTTGAAGGTCCTTCGCCAGAAGATCTCTTGTTTTGTGGTGCCATTGACCTTGGTCTTCAGGTCGTTCCACTTGAAACCAGTACCCTTCTGGGAACCAAGGAACTCCCACAATGCTTTGGTGTCGAGCTTGACATACTTGGCTCTGGCATCGCAGAGCGGGACCAAGGTGCACTGTGCTCGAGGGACGTTGTGTCGTTTCCTGGTCTGAGCAAGTCGGTCGGTCAATCGCTTGATTCGCTTCGTGTTGACGGTGACCTGCTTCTCCACCTCCTCGTGCCGTTTGTGGAGTGCGTTGTATTGATCCGACTGCCTTCGTTCGATAGCGCGACACATCTCCTCATTCAGTCGTCCACACTCTCCTTTCAGATCATCGGTATCCCTCACGAGCCTGGGGATGATTCTGTTTCGAATGGTCGCCACGAACAGTGTCTCCTTTCGGTGGGTCAGCCGAGAGACTTCACTGGCCAATACTGGTACGACTTTGTACAGGTCCTGTTGGCTTTTGTAGCGAAAGATGTAGAGCTGGTCGGCATGGTGGGCGAAGGATTTCCTCAGATCACCGAGGAGTGTATCGGAGAGGGGATTCTCCATCAGCTTCATACACTCATCGACGTGTGTATGTCGCTTGACATCCTTGGGAGCAATCAGGGCCAGATTGCAGAATCGGCGTAGAAGGGACCAATATCGATCGAGAATGTGTGTCTCGCAGTTGACTGCATAGGTCTTGACAGCCAATGTGAGGATCTGTGACCCAGTGCCCTTTGGGAGGATTACAGGAGGTAGGGCACACGATCCACTCCATGTACTTCGATACAGCTCATAGGTGTCGAGGAGGTGCTTGTCTTCTTGGATCGTGCCATTCTTGACATCTGTAGCTCCGGTATGCACCATGTTGAAACACTTTCGAACGAACGAAGGGTCACTCGACGACACAGTGGGGATGGTGATGCCCTCGTCCAAGCATCGCCTGAGATGCAGCTCCAGGAGCCGAGATGCTTCGTACTGCACGTGTGTCATGGCCCGGACAGTCTCCTCGATCTTGTCGTGCAAGGCGCCGTTCTTGATGATGGCGTCAAGAGTGCACTTGATGATCGAGTACTCGGCCTTGGCATACTCGTTTGGACCACAGTCGGGCTCGGTAGAGCTCCAGAGGGGGTTCTTTTTTGAACACAACGAGCTGCTGCTTCTGGCATGACCCTCTTCCCCACATGTGGTACATACAGGGACTTTTGGTGCAGGCATCTCGACCACGAGGGCCGGAACGGCGATGTCTTCACTGGACTCGTCTGGAGGGGGTGCTTGGCAAACGGCGCCAAAGGCAGACGCCGAGTCAGAAGGGGGGCCCAACTCGGTTCGGGCCTTGCATTTCTTGGTGAATGGCTTGACGTGGTTGGTCAATCCACAGGCACGACATGATTTGATGACGGGTTTCTTGTCAGCAGGTGCGTCACTGGGTTGTCCAGGATCTGGATTTGGGTCAGGCGGGGATTTTTTCTTGCGGGGAGCCATCTGTCGCGATTTCGACACCCCGTTGATTCTACCCATAGGCAAGAAAAAACCAAGGGTGAATTTGACGCACTTTCCGATGGTATGATTCACGCCCAGAAACACATCGCGCGCTCAATCAGCCGTGGGAAGACATCTGGAAGCACCCTCCGCACGGCGGACTCGAACAGGGTCACCATCCCGACTCTGAACCCCTCGGACGCATTCAGCGCTGCTGCCTTCCTGTACTGATGCTTCACAATCCCAAAGAAATTCTCGATGGGATTGAAGTCGGGCGAGGCAGGTGGGGTGAAGATCACTGACCATCCTCGGCGCTCGATGCAGTCCAGGACAGGCATTGTCTTGTGCATGCTGACATTGTCCATCACAATCACAGAGTCGTCTGGGAAGGTCGCTCGCTCAAAGAACTCGACCATCGAGTGTGTCTTGAATGATGTGGGGATGTACATGCGATGCAGCACACCAGAGTGGTTGATGGCAAATGCAGCCGAGACAGACTTGTGTTTCATGTGATTGCGCTGGCGAAGCGGAGCACCCTTCGGTGAGTATCCGTAGAGAGAGAAAATGGATCTCCTGATCCCTGTCTCGTCGACAAAAACGAATCGCCGCGGGTCGATGGAGCGGACCCGGTCCCTGAACTGTGCCACTCGCTCATCCAGTCGCTTGGACTTGTAGAGGTGTGTTGCCCTCTTGTGTGAGAGACCTGCTCGGTGGATGGCAGTGTGGCAGAGCGAGAGTGAAACTTTCCTCTGGAGGATGGACTCGAGCTTGCATCGCAGCACAGGACCAGTCTGGAACGGGTCCTGTTCAATCAGGGTGCGAATGACTGGACATGCCTGCTCGAAGAAAGTGGATCTGCGAGCTGGGACCCGGGATGGGTCATCCAGCTTGCATCCTCGGTGCCATCGATGGATGGTGCTCTTGGATACACTGAATATGGAGGCGACCTTACGCAGGCTATGGATGAGATCGTAGCATCGCAATGCGGCGGTGCGAAAGTCGGATGTGTGGCGAATGGTCATGGCCAGCGCGCGATAACATTGGGTAACAAAATATTCGATCAATGGTCAAAACCTGGGTGTCCCGTTTTTTATTGGATTGGCTGTAAATCAGACGATGTGTTCATCCGAGCACAGGGGGCAAACTCGGAGGGGCCAGGCCACAGAGGCGGGTCTGCAAAACGCAGACCACACCCCACTTCTCGTCGAGCCTCAGAGGCTCTTGAGAAGAATGTTGCGTGCTCCATTCACGTCTCGATCGATGACGGTGGAGCACTGGTTGCAGTTGAATGTCTTGGCTGCCCCAAGGTCTCTCTTGATGAACCCGCAGTGGGTGCAGGTCTTGCTGGTGTACTCTTCACCGACCACCCTGACAATGGTGCCATACTCCTGTGCCTTGCATTGCACTCTGTCCACGAATCGACAGTGGGACAGCTGGACCATGCGCTCTCGGTTGCGCTTGCTGATGTGTCGGAAGCCATGGCTGTTGAGTCTTGGGATCAAGATGATGTCGTGTTTGGAGCTGAGGGTCAGTGGTCATCACGTGACTGGATGGGTATATGGACAAGGGGCGCGCTTTTTCGGACAAGGTGGTGTATAGCCTACACTGTCGGAGGCAGGAATTGTAAACACGAGGTCCTCGGTTCGATTCTGGTAATGCGCGGCGCCCCGACCCCCACTCAACCGAGCCGGGGGTATGCCATAATGGTGGGCCATTGAGCTACACGTCGTCACGCACAGCCTAAAGAAACAATATCACACAAACCCGTTGAGCCGTCCCGCGGGTGGACCAGGTGTCCCCATAGGGGGAGGATGCCTGCCGTGATAGTTGTTTTGCTCCAATTTCCGTTTCATTTTACAGGCGATCCAATAAAAAACGGACACCCAGGTTTTGACCATTGATCGAATATTTTGTTACCCAAAACCATCGCGCGCTGACCATGACCATTCGCCACACATCCGACTTTCGCACCGCCGCATTGCGATGCTACGCCCTCATCCATAGCCTGCGTAAGGTCGCCTCCATATTCAGTGTATCCAAGAGCACCATCCATCGATGGCACCGAGGATGCAAGCTGGATGACCCATCCCGGGTCCCAGCTCGCAGATCCACTTTCTTCGAGCAGGCATGTCCAGTCATTCGCACCCTGATTGAACAGGACCCGTTCCAGACTGGTCCTGTGCTGTGGTGCAAGCTCGAGTCCATCCTCCAGAGGAAAGTTTCACTCTCACTCTACCACAAGGAATATGTTCTCAGTATGTCAGTCGATCATCGCCATAGGAGAACGTCCGAGTGTATTCAAGACTTTGCTTCCGGACCCACCCAAAACAAAGAGATTGCCAACCAGGACGGGAAACAATCGCACGACCTGTCCACTGGGGTCTACGGATCAGCAGACCTGTGTCGCTGATGCCAGAAAGTGACTGTCCCGTTTCTTTCTGGTTTGACTGTATTGTTGAATTGGAAAAATTACACGATTAACATCCACTTTGCAACGGGGGCGACCGAACACGGTTGGGAAACGTACTATCAGCCTCTTTTAAATTCAACCACCGAATCCCATCATAGCGTGTGTGACGGAGCCGCCCCCAATGGGGTTAACCCTGACAGGCCAATACATACATACCCTAAGGTGTGTAGGACCTACCCTCTAGATTGGTACCGTATAAATCCGGGCCAACCCTCGGTCACGTGCTAGGTGAATGCCCAGCGGCTGGGGCGCGGATTCGAACGCAGAACGGATTCTGCGGTTGCACCACGCCCTGCCCACCGAGACACATCGTGTAATATTGTTGGAGACGGCCAAACATCGGTTGATATTGTTCGCCACACATCCGACCTTCGCACCGCCGCATTGCGATGCTACGCCCTCATCCATAGCCTGCGCAAGGATGCCTCCATATTCAGTGTATCCAAGAGCACCATCCATCGATGGCACCGAGGAGGCAAGCTGGATGACCCATCCCGGGTCCCAGCTCGCAGATCCACTTTCTTCGAGCAGGCATGTCCAGTCATTCGCACCCTGATTGAACAGGACCCGTTCCAGACTGGTCCTGTGTTGCGATGCAAGCTCGAGTCCATCCTCCAGAGGAAAGTTTCACTCTCACTCTACCACAAGGAATATGTTCTCAGTATGTCAGTCGATCATCGCCATAGGAGAACGTCCGAGTGTATTCAAGACTTTGCTTGCCAAACCAATGAAACAAAACAATTGCCAACCGAGACGGGAAACGATCACATAGTTTGCACACTGGTCCTATGGATCAGCAGACCCGTGTCGCTGTTGCTAAGGAAAACCGCGATGATTCTTTTGTTTGAGCAGCGCAAATATGGATTGATTTTGTTGGTCTGTTGTGGAGCTCTGTTCTGGGGAGCCCAAGATTTCATCCAGCCTCTTGATACGAAGAGTGATTTCCGCATGTTTGAAGTTGCTCCGATCTACTTGCAATTTGCAGCGGAGCTCTTGGGCAAGAGGTTTGATTTCTTCAAGAAGACTGTGTAAATTCAGCGCAACTACTCTGATCTTATTTATCAACTTCATATCTTTGATCGATGGTATGAAATTTTTGTTATGCAAAACTTCCTCGAGCTTGGTGGGATCGATTCTCTGATAAATGCTGAGTTTAAATATATAAATTGCATATTTAGTTTAGTATCATCGTCACCAAATTGGTCAATGCTTCAACCAACCTAATGTAGAGACATACCTTCGAAAATCGAGATCGTACACTTCGCGTTTTGGACGTGTAGCCGGGGTTTCGACATGGCAATAATTGCGCTCGGCATCCTTCAGAGCGATAATGGCATTACCGATCACCTGTACCTTCCTCAGATAATCCAGAAGACTGACCGGTACATCGCCAATCAAGTTCAATGACGAAGCGAGGAGAGATGTACTTTGATTCGCCGAGAGCTCGAGACCGTATGTTTTTGAATACGCTGACCGACGTTGGATTAAGTGACACATCCACTTTGCACTTTTGATTCCAGCGTCCGATGCTAGTGATATGAAATAACCAGCCATTTTCCATTCTTCAATGGAATGTAAGTAGAGTCCAAGAACATATTGAGCCTCTGGAAAGTTCCAGCCAAATGGGCTGGCCATATGCAGCAGTGTCTTGAACGAAGTCGGCTTCTCGGGGGAAGATGCTGTTGAAAAGGTACGAACGACGTGATCGATAAATTTTCCAAGGCGGGTTTGATCTTTCAACGGGTATACTTCCCCGTTCTTGAACCATGCATCTCTTTGACCCTTCTTTGGTCCGATGAATCTCAAGAGCTTCATAATGAACTGAGCAGAATCAATATAGGCCTTGGGAACTAATTCAGAAATGCATACATCCGTTATTTCACGATACATAAACTATACAACCGATTGAGGCAACTTATACTTACTTATACTTGAAGTCAAAAACGCATTCGGGTTCTCCATTTCGACATAACTCTTCATAAATTTCTGATTTTTGCCGTCCGCATCCACATCATGAGCACATTGTCTGTACTGAAGGATGAAGCGCTTGAACTGGAACCACCACAATAGTGCTTTCAGATCCAAAGTATGTTTGGGGCTGAGTGCTGGGGTCTTGAGTGCATTTTGGAAAAATTTGATATTTGTAGACAGTCGAGCCTCCAATTGTTTAGTGGTGGGGAAAATATCCTCAAAGCATTCGTTTTTTACCGGGTCTGAGCCACAGAGATGAGAGATCGGGATATATCCGCACTGAAATAGGATTCCTTCGGCTACAAGAGTTTGCCAAGCATCGTTCTGATATTTGTCTGGATCAACCAAATTCTTCAAGAGTTGCGTGAGGTTTTGTGGTTTGTAGTTTTGATAGAAATTATCGATAGGTACGCTATTATGAAAGGCCTTTGGGGGTTTGCCGTTAGTCGACCTATCAATGTGATCTTCAGAGCATGAAAGCTGCAAAATGCTTTCAGCCACTCCAAGAAACGTTTTACGGTCCTTGAACGGATTGGTTGATTTCGGAACGCTCATTTTTTGTAGACAAGAGTCGATGTCGTCGTTGGTGTCCCCGAATGTGACAGACAGTGCCGAGATAGCATCCAAGTGGGTTGCATGTGGGAATAATCTCGATGGGATTCGAATATAATCTTCACCACTTTCGAGAATTGGGGCAGACGCCTCCAAGATAGCTGTGACTGTATAATATCAGGTTAGAAAGTCAATCCCGATATAACTGAGGATGAGCGTCCTTATTACTCTGTGATGATCATGCACGTTGGGAACACGTGTGGACTGCTGCGCGTGATGCACCGTGAGTCATGCTTGTTTGTCTTGGCGTGTATTCCCTGATTGGCTGGCGCCGATGACTCTGACTTCGCCTCCGACTGCGCTGTGCTTCGCCCCTCTCGCTGGATGCTCCGCCTCCCTCGCACCCCCATCTCGTCCCTCGTTTGTCGCTCCACCCTTCTCGCCCACTTTCGCCCTTCGGTTTCCCTCTTGGCTA